TTTGTCGTGATGGTTGTGGTGGTGGTAACGGTTGCGACCCGACGTGGGTTGTGGTGGTGGTAGCGGTTGTGATGCGACGTGCGTTGTGGTGGCGATGGTAACAACAATACTAGTAGTAGTTGTGATGGTGGTGTGGTGTTATGTTGTGGTGGTGGTGGTGGTTGTGGTGGTGGGTGTTGGTGCTGGTGCTGGTGGTGGTGGTGGTTGTTGTGGTGCTGGTGTTGGTGGTGGTGTGGTGGTTTGTGGTGGTGGTGGTGGGTTGTGGTGGGGGTGGTGGCGGTGGTGGTGTTTGTGGTGTGGTGGTTTGCTGTGTGTTGTGGTGGCGGTGGTGGTGGTGGTGGTGTGTGGTGGCGGTGGTGTGTGGTGGTGGAGGTGGTGGTGGTGGTGGTGGTGGTGGTGGTGGTGGTGGTGGTGGTGGTGGTGGTGGTGGTGGTGGTGTGGTGGTGGTGGTGGTGGTGTGGTGGTGGTGGTGGTGGTGGTGGTGGTGGTGGTGGTGGTGGTGGTGGTGGTGGTGGTGGTGGTGGTGGGTGGTGGTGGTGTGGTGGGTGGTGGTGGTGGTGGTGGTGGTGGTGGTGGTGGTGGTGGTGGTGGTGGGTGGTGGTGGTGGTGGTGGTGGTGGTGGTGGTGTGGTGGTGGTGGTGGTGGTGGTGGTGGTGGTGGTGGTGGTGGGTGGTGGTGGTGGTGGTGTGGTGGTGGTGGTGGTGGTGGTGGTGGTGGTGGTGGTGGTGGTGGTGGTGGTGGTGGTGTGGGTGGTGGTGGTGGTGGTGGTGGTGGTGGTGGTGTGGTGGTGGGTGGTGGTGGTGGTGGTGGTGGTGGTGGTGGTGGTGGGTGGTGTGGTGGGTGGTGGTGGTGGGTGGTGGTGGTGGTGGTGGTGGTGGTGGTGGTGGTGGTGGTGGTGGTGGTGGTGGTGGTGGTGATGGTGGTGGTGGTGGTGGTGGTGGTGGTGGTGTGGTTGTGCTGGTGCTGGTGGTGGTGGTGCTGGTGGTGGTGGTGGTGGTGTGGTTGTGGGTGGTGTGTGGCGGTGGTGGTGATGGTGATGGCTTATGGTGGTGGTGTGGTGGTTTATGGTGGTGGTTGTGGTGGGTTGTGGTGCATTGTGGTGTGTTGTCGTGGTGGGGGTGGCGGTTGTGGTTGTGGTGGTGGTGTGGTGGTTTGTGGTGGAGGTGGTGGTTATGGTGGTGGTGAGTTGTGGTGGTTGCGGTGGTGGTGGTCGCGGTGGTGGTGGTGGTGTGGTGCTTTGTGGTTGTGGTGGTGGTAGTGGTGGTGCGGCCTTCGGGTCTTCCCGCCACCGTGTCTTGGCGTTGGGTCACACTTCTAATGGATGCCTCTTGGGGTCTCGTCAGAGGGGTCTCGGGGGCGTCTGGGGAGCATGGGTGAGGTTTCCTGGGCGCCTCTTGGACTTATCCGGGAACTTCCTAAAGGCCCCCGGTGGCTTTTGGGGAGCGAGGGCTCGATATGGCGATTTGGATTTTCCCACTGCGGCCTCTGGGCTCTCTCTGGTCATCGTCGCTGTTTCCCCGCCGTTGGTGCTGCCGGCCGCCGCCAGCGCAGGCGCCAGCACCGGCACCGATGAGGGGGGGGGCGGGGGGGGTTCGACCGCACACACCCCCAGAGGGCCGGAAGAGAAAAGATTGGGGGGAGTTAGAATATCCTTCTTCTTTACAGGGGGAAGGGGTTTGGACCCACCCCCCCTTGGGAGGAAGGGGGGGGGTTGGGGGACGGGGGGGTTAGGGGGAGTGGAGCCCCCCTTGTGGTTTTGATCGACGGCGCCGAATGTTGGGGGGGGGGCCGTGCGACCCTTTGTTTGTATGGTTATGTTCAACAAGGTTGGATTTCCTTATGATTTCTTGTGCATCTCCATCATCGATTGCCACGTCGATTGTGGTCGTACTGCAGGAGGAGGAGCAGGGATATGGAGAAATCCCGAATGCAATATCATTGTATTCGCATTGTTTTCCGATTGTATTCCGCTGTGGCGGCCACTGCAGATCCCCCAAGCAGAATCCTCTCATAGCAGCCTTCACAAAGGGATTCCTTTTGTGGCGACCTTTACACAATGGTTTTCAGCGTGGGGGATCTGCAGTGGCGGCACCGTGAACCCAGGAAAGCTAGAGAGGAGAACGGGAAAAACAGAAAAAATAGGGAAAGGCTTATGCTTTCACAGGGAAAATCAAAAAAACTAAGCAGACCTGTGACTGTCGGTACTTCTATGGTGCAGACGCTCCACTATTGAAATCATAGCCTCTATACTTGGAATCCTTTTGCAATAGCCTTTACCAAGGGCTTCCCTTTGTGGCGGCCTTAAGCAAGGGTTTTTCATTGTGGGGGGATATGCAGTGGCGTCACTTTGAGCCCAGGAAACCTAGAGAGGAAAATGGGAAAAACAGGATACACTGAAAAAACCTTTTTGCTTTCACAGGGAAAAATAGGAGAAAGCTAGGAAGACCTGTGACCGTCGGTATTTTTATGGCGCAGACGCTCCACACTTAAATCCTTTTGTAGCAGCCTTTACAACAATATCCCTCTTGCGGCGACATTGCACAAGGATTTCGAGTGAGGGGGATCTGCAGTGGCCTCCACAGTTAGAACTCTTCTGCAACAGCCTTTACAAAGGGATTCCTTTTGCGTCGGCCGTACACAAGAATTTTAGGTGTGCGAGGGGATCTGCAGTGGCGGCCCCTTGAGTCCAGGAAGCTAATAAGGAAAACGGTGAAAAAAAACATGAAAAACATGAAAAAGCCAGTGTCTTCACATGGAACAGCAAAAAACAATTAGGCATACCTGTGACTGTCGGTACTTTGCGGCACAGACGTTCCACATTCAAAATCCTTGTGTAGCAGCCTTTACAAAAAGAATTCATCTTGTGGTGACCTTAGAGAAGAATTTTGAGTGAGGGGGACCTGCAATGGCCTCCACACTTGGAATCCTTTTTGTAACAGCCTTTTCAAAAGGATTCCTTCTGTGGCGGCCTTGCGGGGGGATCTGCAGTGTCGGCACCTTGTGTGCGCAAAAGCTGGAGAGGAAAACAGGGCGAACCGTAAACATAGGAACAAGCTTGTGTTTCCACATGGGAAAACAAGAATAGGAATATTGATTCTCGGTATCTTTACGGCGCTGGCGGCGCTCACACCCAAAATCCTGTTGCAACAGTTTGTACCAAACGATTCCTTGGTATCCCTTTGTGCAGACTTCTATGAGCTGATTCTAGTTGTGGAGGCCACTGCAAATCCCCCATGCTTAAAAATATTGGTGCAAGGTCGCCAAAAACTTTGCGCAAGGTGTGAGGAGCGTCTGCACCAGAAACGTACCGACAGCCACAGATCTGCTTAGCTTTTTTTGTTTTCCCTTCGAAAACACAAGGTTGTTCCGGTTTGTCTTGTTTTCTTGTTCAGCTTCCTACAGTCAAGACGCTGAAATAAGGAACAGTTTGGGTTCGGAAGGGGCTCGATGTTCCTTAGATTCCTCCAGTGCTGTTCCTCTTGCCATCCTGGGGCACGGAGGCGCTTACAAGGCCAAGAAGGGGCTTCGTTCCTTCTTTCAGCGGCCCGACTGTACACTCGAGGTGCCGCCACTGCAGATCCCCCCCCCCGCACACTTAAAATCTGTTTGTAAGGCCGCCACAAAAGGAATCCTTTTGTAAAGGCTGTTGCAAAAGGGTACTAAGTGTGGAGGCCACTGCAGGTCCCCCTCACTTAAAATATTTGTGTAATGTCGCCACGAAATGAAGCCTTGTTGTAAAGGCTGCTACAGAATAAATGGTGGAACGCCTGCACCGTAAAAGTACCGACAGTCACAGGTCTTCTTAGTTGCTTCCTATTTCTCTCTGCGAAAACACCGGCTTTTTGTATGGTTGTTCTTTTTGTTTTCCCGTTTTCCTCTCTAGTTTTCTTGGGTTCAAGGTGCCGCCATTGCAGACCCCTCATAATGACAACTCTTTCTGTAAGGCCGCCACAAAGGAAATCCCTTTGCAAAGGCCGTTACAAACGGACTATCAGTGTGGGGCGTTTCTTTGAGAGGAATGCAGAAAAGTTGGGAGAACGATGAGTTGGATATATCATGAATGAAATTCAAGGTGAGTCATCAGATCACGGATTAGCAATGCTTGTAGAACAGCGAAAAGCGTGGGTTATCATCGCACAACCGAAGGGTCCTACAAAGGGGGCCTTCCCCCGGTTCGACACGCGCCGCCGACTGTTCCCAGGGCAGGCGCCCGTGAAGCGCGCTCTCTCGAAGGCGAGAAAGCAAACGTCCTTCAAAAACACAAGGGAAATCTGTGATTTTTGCCATGTTAGGGGCTCCCTGGGGAGTGCTCTTGGATGGCTCTTGGGCCGTCCGGGGGCTATGTGGGGCGTCTTGGAGCGATCTGGCGGTGTCCCGGACACCTCTTGGACCATTGGAGGTCTTCTAGGGGGCCTCTTGGCCTTTTTGGGGACTTCACGGGGGGCCCCGGGAGCGACGCCCAGACCATCTCTGGTCGGACCTTGCTGAGGTACTTGTCGGCGGGGGACCCCAAGGGGCGGCCCCGCTCGCGCGAACTAGAAAACTCTGAACCAGTCACCGGAGATCTTAGCACGCCTCTGGCCCGTTGGGTCAGCGAATTGTTATCGTTCTACGTCCTCATACCCCTTTTCATCTTCCCTCCTCCCCACCCGGATCCTACTGCTCCTGAAACAGTCTGTAGACATGTTGGGCTGGCAGTCTTGATTATCCAGAGTTAATCGTCTCGAGGTTCACGGAAATACTCGTTTGCCGGGGTCCCACATCTTGCATTTTAGCATCTTACAGCAGCGCCAGATCGTGGTCGGCATTGAAGAGCGGATAACGGATTGGAGCACGCGCGGGAGCAGGAGAAGCAGCAGGAGCAGGAACACACAAACCGAGGATGGAGACGGAGGGTGGTGAGGTGGAGGGGGAGGAGGAGGAGGAGGAGGAGGAGGAGGAGGAGGAGGAGGAGGAGGAGGAGGAGGAGGAGGACGACAAGGAGGCCCGGCGGAGCGAAGGACACGTTCGCGCTTGGCGCCACGCTTTTGGTGCCTCCGCTCGTCTCTCTTCGCGCTGCACCGTCCACGCCGACCGTTTCGATCAGCGCAGTGCTTCGCCCCAGCCTCGCACAAAGTCTCGTCGCTGGGTAAGGGCGTTTTCTTCCTTGCGGCGCATGGAGAGAGAGAGAGAGAGAGAAAGAGGGAGAGAGGGAGAGGGGGTAGACACATATACGAAGAGGGAGAGGGAGAGAGAGGGGTAGACACATGATACGAAGAGGGAGAGGACGAGCACGACCAGGGGGATGAGGAGAGAGAGAGAGAGAGAGGGATCGGCAGCAGGGGAAGAGAGGGAGGACCAGCAAGAGGAGGTGGATGGTAGAGCGCGGAGAGGAGGAGCAGGAGGAGTTGAAGGAGAGGGGAGCAGAGGAGGAGGAGGAGGAGGAGGAGGCGAAGGAGGAGGCAGAAGTTCACCAAGCGCCGTGTGCCCGCTGAGATGTGTTGCTGCCCGGTGGCGCAGAAGTCTCATAAGAAGCGTGGGCATCTCACGAAGTTGATCAATCGAAAAAGAACGTGCCATTACACTTCTCTTAGCCATATGGTTTGTCGTACGTCTATCCTGCAGAGGTAGAGTCGAGGCGACGAAATAATGAGCACGCTGGGCGCGTTGATCCTCGGGTGTGTCTTAGGCCAGCCAGCAGACAAGCTAGCTTGAGTTTGAAGAAGACGGGGGTCGTTTCTCATCCGCACATCCTTGCGACCGCAGTTCAATCCCAGCCGACTGTCCATTCCTTTCGTGTTGCGAATGTGAACATGTGATAAAGGCCAGTGCTGGACAACTCGGAGGGTCCCAGTAATCGAAGACGCAAGCGGCGAATCACCGCCGCCCCATGCCTTGTGGAAACGCCCATGCGGCCAACCGTTGGGGCGAAATATGGCAAAGTTATTAGACTGTGTGCTCCCCTTGACGTTGTGGAACCTCTTGGGGGAACACTTGGGAGAGGAAGGGAAAGGAGGAGAGGGAAGAGAAGGAGGAGGAGGAGGAGGAGGAGGAGGAGGAGGAGGAGGAGGAGGAGGAGGAGAGGGAGGAGAAGAGGAAGTCTCTTGAGGCCCTCGTAGTGCCTCCTGGCGGGGTCCTTGAAGCCTCTCGGGGGCCTCTGAGGGGCCTCATGTGGGCCTCCTGGGGCCTCGTGGGGGCCTCCTGGGGCCTCGTGGGGGCCTTCTGGGGCCTCGTGGGGGCTTCTGGGGGCCACAGATACATCCATAGGGGCTTCTAAGTAACCTCTCGGAGGCCGTCTTGGGGCTCTCTCTGGGCAGTCGTGGGTCCCTCTTTGTGCATTGTAGGGCCGCCTTGGAGGTCTATGGGGCCCTCTTAGGGGACCTCTTGGGTAGTCTTGGGACCCTCTTGTGCCGTCATACGGGCCTCTTGGGCCGTCTCAGGGCGATTTTGGGGGCATATAGGGGCCGTCCTGGAGCGTCGGGAACCCGAAAAAGCGAGAACGCTAAAATCACTAAAAAAGCCATGGGGGATATTTGATGTTGGCCTCCCGGAGGTCCGCTTGGAGCCCTTTGGGGGCGTCTTGGGGGCCTCTCGAGCCGTCTGGAGGACGTGTTGAGCCATCTTGGGGCCATCTTGGTCGTCTTGGAGGCACCTTGGGACCGTCGTTGAGGCCACCTTGTCCGCCTTGGAGGCGTCTTGGAAACTATCTTGTGCCATCTTGGCCGTCTTGGTGGCGTCGGGGGCCGCGCTTCCCAGCGCTAAGGCGCCTTTCCGGCTGGCTGCCGCGATCGGCCGAACAATGTGGCATGCCAGGCACCCCTTGAATAAATCAGCGGAGGGCGGCGGATCGAAGACGCCTGTGGCGAATCGCCACCGCCCCTTGCCTTTTGGAAACGCCCATGCGGCCAAAGGTTGTGGCGAAGCCTGGCCAAGCAATTGGACCATGTGTTCCCCAGCCGTTGGGGCTGGGAAAGGAAAGGGAAGAAGGAGAAGGAGGAGGTGGAAGAGGAGGAGGAGGAGCAGGAGGAGAGGAAGGAGAAGGAGGACGAGGAGTAGAGGGAGGAGGAAGAAGAGGAGGCCTCTTGAGGCCATGTTTGTGCCTCCTGGAGGGGCTCCTGGGAGACTCTCGGGGGCCTCTGAGGGGCCTCTTGGGGGCCTCCTGGTACCTCGCGGGGGCTCCTGGGGGGCATTTGGTGGACCTCTCGGCCTTCGGAGGCCGTCTTAGGGCCCTCCCTGGGCAGTCGTAGGTTCCTCTTTGGGCAATGTTGGGCCATCTTGGAGGGGCCCTCTTTGAGCCTCTTGGAGGCATCTTGGAGGCCTCTTCGGGCGTCTTGGGAGCATCCTGGGCCGTCCTGCGGCCATCTTCGGCGTCCTGGAGCGACATTTCAGCGACTTCGGGGCCCTCGCGGGGCCGTCTCGGAGGCCTCTTGGGGCCCTCGTGGCCCGTCCCAGGGCCCTCGCGGGGCCGAGACAGTCATGCGACAAGAAGACGCCGCCTGGGCCCCAGGGGGCCAGGCAGTCGGCCCCAGAAGACTTGGCGGTCTGGGATTCAGGCCCCTCTTTCAGGATTGAGGATCGAAGCTCCACGGAATCAAGCAAGGAGCGTGATAACACTCCACCTCGCGCCTCAAGGGCGCGGTGGCGGATCTATGTGTATATATTCACGTGTATACATATATATATATATATATAAAGAGAGACAGAGACAGAGACAGAGACAGCACGTGGTGCAGGAGTTATTCACGGGCAAGATCCTGTTTCCTGGGAAGTCTAACAACGATATGTTGAGGTCACGGGCTCAGCATGGTGCGGCGCCGGCGTGTTAAATGCACAAGCGGTGAGTCACAAGGGGTGCCGACCGTTTTTGTCATGGTTCGTCAGAAGTGATGTTGGCGTGTTCAAGCTGGAAGCTGCGAAAAGAGTAGTGTGCATAAGTGTGTGTGTCTGCCAGCCCGCCTAGTTGTCTCATCTGATCTCTGACCGAAGCGTGTCAGGCTCTGGTCGAAACGCGGCACCCATTCGCAGCCCACGTTGCAGGTTCTTGGGGCATCTCGATGCGTGCGCGTGCGCATTCCGGCATAAGCGGTCTAGCGCGAATTTCCAAGGATGTTTGTATGCCCCTGACACCGGATACGAAATAGCACTGCGCTTACTTTCACTAGGGGAGGAGATGGGAAGGCAAGGGGGACAATGCAGTACGAGGTGACATAAGCTCAGCTAAGGCAGGGCAAGGCAACAGCAGGTTGAGGCGACCAATGTTGAGGTGCGATCAGAGTGTAGGACATAGTGCTGGATCCCGTCGCGCAGGCAACGCATGACACGGAGTATCAGCATGTCCACACGCAATCGACCCGATCATGAAGAACTCCCACCCTCTTTAATTTGACCTTGCTCTTCAGCGGCTTCCAGGAAGCCAGCTTGGTTCATTGATCCCCTGCACACGCACAGGGCTGCATGCACAAGGCTGGCTCAGCGCTTGGTCGATAATTTGCTCAAAGTTTTCTTGGGCAAATAAATTCTGAATCACCGTAGTCGCTGCATCGCGAGGCGTCGTGAACGGTAGATCCTTCGTCTGCCTCCCAATCGTCTTCCCCCCTTCTCCTCTGACTCCTTCGAATGTGCGTTCGACATGGTCGGTGCGCCCCTCAACTGCTGGCTCCGCGATCTATCTAACAGCCACCTTCCAGACCTCCGCCGCCATGAATGAAGGCGCGGCGTCGAGGCTAGGCTCAGGAGCACCTCCGGCCCAGCCCTTCGTAACAGGGAGAGAGGTGGGGATGGGGAGGGGAGGGGAGCGTGGAAGGGGGGCGTGAGAAATAAGCGTGCAAGCCCGTTGCCACTGGCAGCCAACAGCTCACTGGGAAGCAGGAGAAGGAACGAGGACGGTGAGGAGTGGCGTGAGAGGGGGGAGGGAGGTAGGGAGGGAGGCAAGGGGGAAGTGAGCAGCAGAGTCGTGAGCAGCAGAGTCTCCCACACCGAGCCGACTTGCGAAGGCTCCGAGATACGGAATGGTCTCCCAGCGAGCCGAAGCTCAGCGTGCGGCGCAACGCCAGCGTTCGGGGCTCGCCACTGCTCAGAAGAGGTCACGCAGCAGCTGGGACTACAGGAGGCTGAGGATATGTTGCTTCTGCTGCCGCGACCACTTTGCCCTCCACGGAGTATGCGTACGATCGGCCCGGTCAGTTTGAGCGGAGATCCTGGCACAGAATAGTGCAGTCACGCCGTGCGCGTGTTCAGTCATGCGCTGCGCCGTGCGCAAAATCAGAAGTACAGTAACGAGTATTCCCCACCCGACAGGTTGGGGTCGTTAGTTTTAAGAACAGACTTCCCGACCCGTCCACTTTGCATACCGCGGCCGCCAGATTCCCAGGTCCCCCGAGTGTCCCCGATAGTCCCGCCTCGCGCCAATCTGCATACTGCGGCCGCCAGATCCCCAGGTCTCCCGAGTGTCCCCGAGTGTCCCGCCTCGCGCCGACCCGCCCACTCTGCATACCGCGGCCGCCAGATCCCCAGGTCTCCCGAGTGTCCCCGAGTGTCCCGCCTCGCGCCGACAAATCATAACATGGCAAGGCGGCATGATAACGTACCTATACGACCACCCTTCGGGTGATAAGGAAGTTCGGGGGGGAGAAACCAACGTCTCACTCGATCGGTCTCACTATCGATCTCACGATCGATCTCACTATCGGTCTCGCTCGATCGATCTCACTCGATCGATCTCACAATCGATCTCACTCGATCTATGTCATTCGATCGATCTCACAATCGATCTGACTATCGATCTCACAATCGATCTCACGATCGATCTCATTATCGATCTCACTATCGATCTTGCATTCGGTCTCACTATCGATCTCATTATCGATATCACAATCGATATCACAATCAACGTCATCATCATCATCAATATCATCGTAATCAACGTCATCAACATCATCATCATCATCAGTATCATCATCATCATCATCATCATCATCATCATCATCATCATCATAATCATCCTCATCATCATCATCATCATCATCATCATCATCGGGACACCAGCATCATCACCTCATCATCATCAACGTCATCTTCATCGGGACACCATCATCGTCACCATCATCATCATCAACATCAGCATCGGGACACCATCATTACCATCGGAACACCAGCATCAACATCATCACCTCATCATCATCATCATGAACAACATCATCATCATCATCATCATCATCATCATCATCGGGACCCATCGTTACCATCATCATCACCATCATCATCATCGGGACACAGTCATCATCATCATCATCATCATCGGGCCACCATCATCAAAATCATAAGCATCACCTCGTCATCATCCTCATCATCAACATCATCATCATCGGGGCACCAGCATCGTCATCATCATCAACATCATCACCGGGACACCATCATCATCATCACCATCACCATCATCATCGTCACCATCATCATCATCACCATCAGCATCAGCACCATCATCATTATCATCTCATTATCATCTCATCATCATCATCAACATCATCAGGATCATCAACATCATCATCGAGACACCACCATCATCATCACCAGCAAGATCATCATCATCAACATCATCATTGGGACATCATCGTCACCACTATCACTATCATCATCATCATCATCATCATCATCTAAATCGTCAACACCATCATCATCGGAACACCATCATCATCACCACCATCACCATCACCATCAGCATTATCGACATCATCATCATCATCATCATCATCATCATCATCATCATCATCATCATCATCATCATCATCGGGACACCGGCGGGACACCGCGCGCCACCGGCCCCCGGTGAGGAATCATTTGGTCCGGCCGCGCCTCAGCCGGAGGCGGGACACCGGCGGGACACCGCGCGCCACCGGCCCCCGGTGAGGAATCATTTGGTCCGGCCGCGCCTCAGCTGGAGGCGGGACACCGGCGGGACACCTCGCGCCACCGGCCCCCGGTGAGGAATCATTTGGTCCGGCCGCGCCTCAGAAGGGGGAGGCTTTCTTCTCGCCCGCCCACGCAGTTGCGCCTCGCACGCACGGCACGCACGAACACGAAACCGAAACCGATTTCCCGGTAGGGGGGCTCTCTGTTCCACTTCGACCTCACTCCCTCACCTCCGGTCAGAACATAGTACAGCACAATTTTACAAGCTGTGGCAGAACAGAGCATATTCCCAGGGCATACAATAGCACTCAGTATATCACAGCACCATGCATTCCATACCATGACAAAGCAAGCATGCCATACTAAAGCATCGCAGACCTGGCCACGCCAAAGCAGAACACGTCACAGCCTCACATAACATGGTGTAGCATACCTATACGACCACCCTTCGGGTGATAAGGAGGTTCGGGGGGGGGAGGAACCAACGTCTCATTCGATCGGTCTCATTATCGATGCCACTATCGATCTCACGATCGGTCTCGCTCGATCGATCTCATTATATTGATCTCACAATAGATCTCACTCGATCTATTTCATTCGATCGATCTCACAATCGATCTCACTATCGATCTCATTATCGATCTCACAATCGATCTCACATTCGGTCTCACTATCGATCTCACTCACTATCGATATCATAATCGATCCCACAATCAACGCCATCACCATCATCAACAGCATCGTCATCAACGTCATCAACATCACCATCATCATCATCATCGGGACACCATCATCATCATCACCTCATCACCATCATCATCAACATCATCATCGTCATCATTGGGACACCATCATCGTCACCATTATCATCATCAACATCATCATCATCGGGACACCACCATCATCATCGGAACACCATCATCATCATCATCTTCTCATCATCATCATTGACAAAATCATCAACATCATCATCATCATCGGGACACCATCATCATCACCAGCAGCATCATCATCATCGGGACACCATCATCATCGTCACCATCATCTGCATCACCATCAGCATCATCATCATCGGGACACCATCATGATCATCAACATCAGCATCAACATCACCATCATCGTGCCACCATCATCAAAACCGTCATCACTTGTGCATCATCCTCATCATCAACATCATCATCATTGGGACACCATCATCGTCATCATCATCACTATCATCATCGGGACACCATCATCATCATCATCATCTTCAACAGCATCATCATCAACCTCATCATCATCGGGATACCATGATCACCATCTACATCATCATGTCATCTTCGTCTCATTATCATCTCATCATCATCAACATCATCAGGGTCATCAGGATCAGCACCATCATCTGGACACCATCATCATCATCAGCAACATCATCATCATCATCATCATCATCATCATCGGGACGTCATCGTCACCACTATCACTATCATCAACACCATCATCATCAACATCGTCAACATCATCATCATCATCATCGGGACACCATCATCACCATCATCATCACCAACATCATCATCATCATCATCATCATCATCATCATCATCATCATCATCATCATCATCATCATCATCATCGGGACACCGACGGGACACCGGCGGGACACCGCGCGCCACTGGCCCCCGGTGAGGAATCATTTGGTCCGGCCGCGCCTCCGCCGGAGGCGGGACACCGGCGGGACACCGCGCGCCAGCGGCCCCCGGGAATCATTTGGTCCGGCCGCGCCTCAGCCGGAGGAGATTTTCTTCTCGCCCGCCCACGCAGCTTCGCCTCGCCCGCACCCACGGCATGCACGAACACGAAACCGAAACCGATGTCCCGGTCGGGGGGCTCTCCGTTCCACTT